AGACAAGAGAGATTAGCGAAGTAATTAATTTCCATTGTACGTTTAGTATTCACAGATTTTCCTGGCTGATTCTTGTGCATCATTATATTCCATGAAAGTTGGTGAATATTAATTTACCGACGCCGACAAAGGGGAACAAATTCTCATTTGTTTAATTTTCGTTACTTTAAGGCAAATGTCTTCCGTTTCATTCGTACTTTCTTTTGTAAAATCAAGTCATAATCAACACGAGATCGGCGCTCTAGGTAAGTATCATTTTGAGACCATCATAATCCAGGGAAAAAAAATAAACCCAAGTAAAAATTGTTCATTTTAGTTAGAAATAAGAACGAAAGCTAGTTTTGGTTTCAATGTACAATTAGATACTTCTTCGCCACAGAAAATGATTTCTCGGAGATTAAGAAACAGATTCTAACGAGAAAGACCTAGAAAAAACGGCGAGGTTAAAACTTTTGATTATCTGACATAAACAGAGACTGGACAAAGTCAAATGAAAAAAACGGAGCAGCAATTCAAGTTTACTTCTAGAACTATCGTGGGATATAAGAGTTTGGCCGCGTACTCAGTCAACACATGTCGCCTTTACTTTATAACAAATTGCAGTTACAGAGTCAGGCTCTGATGTATAAACCTCTAAGAGAAATGACTTATTAAGAGAACAAACCTGTTATCGTCTTGACTGATGCAGCACAAATGAAGCCACAAGAGGTAAAACCACAGCATTTAGGTCGCCTATCCAGTCGCTACTTTTAATTCTAATACTGGGTGTGTTTCTTGGTTTTATACCTTCTGGTGTAAACGCTAATTTATTCAGCTCAGTCGAGAAACACTTTTCACTCGGAGCTGAAAAAAAAATAGAAGTGTTACTTCATGATTGTTCCAAGAAATATGTTAAACCCCCCCTTGCAACCTGTTGTTTTTTGGCTTGTCGGAATTTGCTACGCTGTTTTGTACAATGTAATTAATCCTTTACCATTGGGGTTTGTTAGGTAATTGCATGATGTGCACCTGGAATTTTGCAGGCGCATTGCCATCCTTATTTTTCATGGTATTCAGAAGAGAACAGTGTTTTTGCTGTCTAGATTGCCGTGGCGCTGCTAGTTTTGTGACGCTTGCTTCGTTCACTGATCAATCGTGCACCCGTACGGTTGGGAGTACCAATGATGCTACTCTTGTGGAAATTTTCTCGTCTTTTTTCCTGTATGAAAAACAAGACTCATTTTAGTGGGACTTGAATAAAAACGCCTTTACCCGTTGATGAATCTTCTAATTTTCACCCTTGGGGAAAATGCCAACATAGGGTGAGAAAAGATTATATCATCATTTGTTTCCTCTGTAGCTTGTCATTGGTGTAACACAAACGCTGCGTTTTATTAGGCCTGGACAAAAAAGTCTCAAAAACCTGACTGCATTTTCTTAATGACACTCTATCAGCAGGGAAGCTTTGAACCCTTAGAACCACAGAAAAGAAAAAATTCTAAAAAATAATCCTTTCATACCCTGCAACAAACGCAGAATGTACTTTTGACCATCCAAAGATTATAAAAGCATCGAAGAAGGCCACTCTACCGCGGTCTGAGCTAGTGCTACAGGTCAAGTGACTCGCGACTCATATTTCTCTCCTTCTGCATCGCATCTGAGAACACTAAACGAGCCAATGGGCCCATAGGGGACATGATTGTGCCAAAAACTTGATTGTGCCAACTAACGTTTTCTCTGAAATTTGCAATCAAAGTACATGTGTAAATAAATCTTAGTGCGGTAAAATATTCTGAACAGTCAAAAGTCATTTTCTATTTAGTTTCTAAGTCCTGCTATAAATAGTTTTCTGTTCTTTTTTTCACTTGCGCAGTTGATCACGCTGGTTCCCACTTTTACTTAGGGCCTGTTCATATGAAAGTGGGAGAACTCAGGTAGGTGAGGTAACTCGCTTTGGTGGGTTAATCTCTGATATGGGGGAAGATCCATTCAACCAAAATTTCTAACCGGTCCGACCGGGAAAAGTGGTCCAGCTCAAAAGGTGAACCAGTTTTTCCGAAACTTTTCCGGTTGGACCGAACCGATCCATTGAGTTTTGGACCGAAAATTTCGGAAATTTTGGTTGAATGGATCGCGCCCATGGTTACCCCACCTATCATGTATAAACGTGGTCATATTAGAATGAGAGATTGTATGGACAAATGGGTAACCCCACCTAAGGGGGTTACCTCACCTTCCTGGAGTCCCCCATCTCCATGAAAACAGGCTCTTGGGGTTCGTTTTCTCCCCGTCTTGGAAAAACTGTTAATTGGCGCGTTTTTGGACCTCGAAAGCCTGGATACGACAAGTGACGTTGAGAGTGTACCGAGCTTGGTTGCCCAGATAACAGTATTTCAAGAATTCCTTCCTTAAGAAGTCGCCGGAAACATTTTTTTAAACCCGTACTTTTGACTTTTTGGCGAGCATTTGTCTCTCGTTTACAATGTAACTGGGACTGAAGTCGGTGTCTTCATTTGTAGTCTTAAAATGTGGAGGTTTTATTAAAAGGGTAAAACGGTCGAAACCGTTTACGATTTATGTCAGCCCTGAATGTTTGCAACGATATTTGCCGCGAAACCGGGTTCTTTTTATTCCCTTGGCAAATTTATCGCTGTGTAACAACAAACATTTCAGCGATCAAAGCCCAGAGTGAACTCAACCCAAGCTATTTCCCCAAGGGGAGCTTTGGAGGAAAGGTCTACTGCAACCTCACCTTTTATTAAAATCTTTTTTACCGTATTAGCCAATCGGCTTTTTTGCAATTGGCTGGGATTTTCACGTGCACAATTTTGTAAACGTTCTGCCACCATTCCGCGCTATATAGCAAACAAGTGCCACGAAAGGAATGCAATTTTCGGGACTGTTTTACTGCGAATTTTTTATGACTGCAATTTCAGGTAGGTGGCAATTATTTTGTTTCCTCTTTGTTTGTTTATTTCTTTAGTTGTGACAGGTTTTATTTGAAGTTACACAACACACGTGTTTACGTTCTAGCCTGCATTGTTTATTGCTGAAAATTAAAATAAAGCTCCTGTCCAAGGTTTACTTAATTTCCCGGCCAGCTTATCAATTAAACTTTTCAAAAAAGTTTTGAGTACTTGAGGGTGTTCTACAAAATAAGAAACTCGTGAAAATTTAAAGGCGTATGCTTTTCTCTAACCGTTAAAAACAACCAAAGCGTTGCGCGTGGCTCGTTAAATAATTCCGCTCGAAGTATCAAAATATCGTTGTCGCGCCCTGTGAGAAAAAGATTGTTAGATTTTTTTTCAGTGTTTTATTTACTGATCTGCTGAGTCATAAACACGTGTGTCTATGACTGAAATTCCATCTTTCTCATTACCAGGAAGCCAATATTCATATAAAGGAGTCCCAACATTACTGTATATATTGTATATTGTGCACTTATCCTCGATGTATGCCTGATGCCCTTATCGATAAGTTAAGTCTGATCAGTTTTATCTCACGGTGAAACAACAGCAGCGATTAAAGAACGCTTGATACAAAAAGCCCATGTTTTCAATTTTCTTCGGGAAATTTATTCCTTGCAGTGTTAATAGAGTATTTTATATAGGAACATTGGGCTTTTTTTTCTCACTCCCCCTAATATGAAGCAATTTGTAACTATCTCCAAGACATGACGCATTTTGTGACACTAAAACGCTCGAATCGGCTTGATGGGCTTCAAAGAAACCCCACTCGTTTTCAGTGAAGTAATTTTTATAGCAGTATAGCAGCTCCCATGCACGCCGAACGAGGCGATTCCTCGTAAAACCCGGCCACCAGAACAACCTTAGAACAAACCAGAAACCCCGACAATTAGCCTGCAGAGAAGGCGTTATTAACCGCGGTCGCCATCTTAAAAGCAAACTGAAAAGGACTAAGGGAAGAGAGGCGAAAAAGGGGGCACGGGCGGGAAGTAGAGAAGAAAAATGGCGTATTCTTTCCTCCCCCCCCCCCCCCCCCCATTTTTAAACCTATCAAGATGTTTAGACGCGGGGGGGCGACATCAAAAGACACAGGAAAGGGAATAGGGGGGGGGGGGGGAAAAGGGGGGGAGGGGGGGGACTTGAAAAAAAAAAATGGCTTTTTCTTCCCCCCCCCCCCCCCCCTCCACTATTTTAAACCTATCAACCTATCCCTCGAAATCAGTTTTTGACTCGCCCCAACTCACTGGTAGTTTCAACGTCCAAGATGGCGGTATAGCATTATTCCCGAAAAAAAAAATCATCGATCGCTCTGCAAAATACGCTTGATTTGCAGGCTACCCGACAATAGGGGGAAATAAAAAAGACAAACAGAAACCCTTACCAGTAAAATGTTTAACTTCCTTTCTTATTGTTTTATTTATCATAGTTTTTCGGGCGTGTTCTGTTTTCCGGTTTTCCAAATTTTGTACATGCTGAGCCCCATAGCCTTTCTGAGTATGTTATAGTTTAATTGTTCAGTCTGGAAATGTAAGCCCAGCTGTAGTAGCCTATTACTCATGTTTTAACTTCTCATGTCTTTTTAATCTCCTGCACTTCATTTGAAATTTCCTTAGTGTTTAGCTTTGGTGTAAATTCGAACACGAATGCTTGAGCGCTTACCATTTGTATGGAAAACCCCGGCCGGTAATTCCGGGGAGTTTAAATGGAACGGTTCATTCCGATGGAAATTTTCCAGAAAAAAGTAACCCCTTTCGAGGTATTACCTTTTACCCGTTGTACCATTTATCTGGTTAACCAGTGTCAGGCTTCCTCTTGAGGCGGAAGGTAATTTGTTTTAACCCAGGCCCACTCGTTATCTGGTGTTTTGCAGATGGTACAACTCTAACCCATCCTCTTTTCGGAAAAGTTTTGAATTCCAGTACCATTTGTCAGAAATGTTTTTACCGAAATTTCCTCACAAATGGTAAGCGCTCCTTGTTTCCCTAAGCTGGCTAGATTGGCATCTTTTCTTTACCAGGTCCTCTTGGCACCGGCTCCAAGTAGCCTGCAGCTGACATGACGTACACCGCAGTTGCTTATGTCATTCCCGTGGTAGTGCTGTTTTTCTTCATCAGTAGTCTGGCGTCTGCACTGCTCCTTTTGAAAAAAATAAGATGGAGATTTTGGAAGCGGAAGAAAGGACCCTCTTCAGCCGAGCTGAGGCAAAGGAGAATTCCTGTCATTGAGAGCACACCATTTTGGGTCCCAGGCATTCCAAGTAACCTTGTGGGGATAGAGATCCAACCTTCAGCTCATCTGTTGCCTGTAACTTATTCAACTCCAAAACCACGCAGACACAAACTAGTACGTAACTCTTGTGAAAAAAGCCGGCTTTTTTTTAGAAAGGAGGGTACAGTGTTCTACAACACCTGCCAAAATTTCGCTTTTTCGTTTTCCTTCGCACCCGTGGGGGGACACTCAACAAACAACTAGTAAAATCCCTACCATTTTATTTTCCTGAAGCCTGGAAAGGATACCGTAAAATTCCGAAAATAAGCCCCGGGGCTTATATTTTTCAAAGGCCCTTTTTGAGGGGATTATTTTTGGAGGGGCTTATATTCGGAGGGGCTTATCTACGGAGGAAAATTTGTGTTTCAAAATCGATTGGTCTAGCCTTGCAGTTGGAAGGAAATTTACCGTTTTTGCTTTGTTTTACTTTGTATTTGAGGGCAATTTCCAAGTACAACCCCCCCGGGGGGGGCTTATATTTGGAGGGACAATTTAACGGAGAGTTTTTTGCGTTACGAGTTTGGGGAGCTTATATTTGGAGGGGTTATACATGGAGGGGTTTATTTTCGGAATTTTACGGGACCCCTTTCGGGAGGTGCTTCCCCGAAAAGGCCATCACAAGGCTGGAAGTGTGTTAAAGCTCATTAGTTTAATTTAACAAAAATATTTAATTTTGTCGTAGCGCTTTTCAGTTCGCCACGATAGACCAGTAATGACGTGAAAATTATTCACGATGTTCTCTAAATCGTGGTTTCTGAGGCCGCTATCATTTAAAGGATCGATCAGCCGGCCTTGGTGATCAGGCCTAATAGGGATCGCAAATGAACTGATAAACAGCCAAATGGCAAAGTCAACCGATGTTCGACAAAAGAATTCTCTCTTTTTGGCAATTAAGGCTCCGTTGTTAAGGCTCTTAGCAGGAATTATTGTCCCTTCCGTTAAATATTTTTGTTTTCAACAGTTCATAAAGCTGACTAAAAAAGTTATTTCTAGAGTCTATCGCGCTCCATACATCCTTAACGTCGCACTGAACATCTGTTTTCATCCAGAAAGAAGTCACTCTTGGAGCTCACTTCTAAGATCCTAACTTTTTCTTTTGCAGAATCAGGACGAATTACCAAAACTTAAGTTTTCTCTTCAGTATCACAAAGCAAGGTGAGTTCTTCTTTCAGCACATGAGTCAATTACCTCCCCTCGTCGCTGTCATCATGTTTACCTTTTGTTACTATTTGTTTTTCTTAGTGGGGTACTGGAAGTACAGCTGCTAGACACGGCTAACCTTTCCCTGGATAGCCCCAACCTGGACGATGCCGCGCTAGATGGTGGAGATTCCTCTGTGTTTCTCTTTTCCAACGTCCAACTGACCCAGCAGGTGAGGCTTGATTAGGGAAGAGTGACCAAAGTTAATATTCTCCCAACACCATCGATACATAATCTATAGAGAAAATGTTTTGAGAATTAATGAAATGATCACCTCAGTGATGGGAAATGCTTTGATCAGCAAACAAATTCTCTCAACCAATTCTTTAAGAAAATGCATGGAGATCACTCCGGAGAATTTGTATTATGATATTGTGGCTTAAAGGGTTAAAGTGATGCACAAGCATTCCATATAGGAGAGGTGAGGTTGTAGCCGGCTTCAAACAATAATCACAAAAGAGAAAATCGCTTGATCGTATAAAATTCTCCCAACTAGGTCTTTGAGGAAAATCATGGGGATCAGTGTGGAAAATTTGTTTGAGGATATTGGGGCTTTAGGTAAAAATGTTATACGAGACGATTCGCAACAACGATTTTTAGCGCAACACAGCGTTCCAACATTGTTGCTATATTGTAATGAATAGTTACAACATTGTTCCAACATTGCAACCCAGCTGTGTTGCTCTAAAAATCGTCCTTGCGAATCGTCTCGTGTAACACCACCTTTAAAGGATTAGGCAGTGCAGCAATTCTTCAACCTCACACGTATCTCTGGCTTATGCTAACGAACGTGGATTTTATCTGCAAGGGTTTGCTTTCATTTTTTTTATCCCAATCTTATTCAGGAGGAGACAAAAAAACGGCTCCGTTTAATGTCTCGCCGCCGTCGCCGAAGGCATAAGTCTTTCGAGATCGAGATGAGCTATGAAGCACTACAGCTGCAGACATTGCAGTTCTGTGTTATGGGGTATGATGAGTATTCAAGAAACAAGGTTATAGGAGATGTGCTCCTGCCTCTTGCTGAATTGGCACAACAGGGCTTGGACATCACCAGAGAGCTCGTGATGTGGAGAGATATACAGACCTGTCAACCGGTGAATAACCCCTTGTTTTTATATCGGGAATGGTTTGTTTTTCTTTGCTGAATTTTCTGGTAGGAAGTGGAGACGTGGTGTTTATCTTTGTCAAATTGCACCATGAATCTTTTTTGGGCCACGAAAGTTTGATCAAGTTTGCCACGAAAACGCGTCACAAATAGCCAATAGAGAGCTTTAGGACGAGAGCGAGTATGATTTCGAGATTTAACTTAAAGTTTTTATTGCGTGTTCTAATAAAAAGACATCCCGGAAATCTTCAATTTACTTTTTTTCCACCAGAAAAGTTATAGTACGGTTATTTATATCGAAGGAGGTTAAGCGTTTAAACTTCTTACGTTTGATGACTTGTTTCCGCCACTACGACATTCTCGCTAAAACTCGTAGTAGAATGACGACGGCTATCGCGTTTTCCTGCCAAAATGACGATGGTTCACACTTGAGCAATACTCAGTACTGGAAAAATCTCCTAGTCGTAGTCATACTCGTCCTACTCGTCTCAGAATCTAAAGCTCTTTAATAAAAGAATTGAGGCTCAAGCGTCCCCAAAATAGTCCCATAATGCAATTAGACAAAACACGTAACCAGTCGCTCAATCTCAAAGCCATTCTCTAGCTATATTTTTATGTCCAAAGTTTTAAGAGAACCAGATCAGAAAGACAAAGTTTTTTTGAATAAGTTAATTTCAAAATTTTCCTAACCACTCGCTTGGTTTTAGTCTCATCTTGTATCGTTCCTCGTTTGTCAACTCCTCTATGTCTTATTTCTTTTAGCGGTCACATTTATTACGTGAAAGAATGGGACAATTGTCGAGCATAAAGTCATCCCAGGACGTCTCGGAGCCGGATGGCACAGGGAGACCAGCCGAACGCAAGTGTAGCACTTCATAAACAATCACAGACGCCAAATATGGAGAATACCTGCTCATATTAAGTCTGAGGTCGATAAAGATGTTGATGTTACAGTTTATTCTTACAGTTCCAGTTAATGCAACGAACAAGCGGAAAATCCCGAAACTCGATACTTATACAAAGGGTCGACTAAAAGCTGCGTTTTGTTTTCCTCAAACCTTAGTGCGCAAACAGCCCTGGCCTTACCACGACTGCGCGTGAGGTGCACGCTGCACGCTGCACGCGCAAGGATGAGTGTAAGAACCCTCAACCGAAGGAGCGCGTTTGCTTAGCCCCGCCTAAGGTCTGAGCTGGGTTCCTCGAAAGATGTTTTAGATAAACCCAGGATTAAACCAATTTTATGCAAAGTTGTCTCTTTTTGGAACATGTAGCTGGAGATTCTAAAATAGTGTTGAGTCTAATCCAAAATCCAGTTACGTTTACACAAAATGATGTTATGATTAATGCAAAAATTAAAATAAAATTAATACAATCGCAAACTTACAGTTTAATCCTGGATCAGCGTTATATATTTATAATCGACCTTAATCGGCATTTTTGGAACCGCGCCTTGGTTTCTATATAACTGTCGCGATCGTTATTATCGTTCAGAGTTTTTTTCACTGCTATCGTTCAGTTACTTTTTGCTTTTTAACTTCCGTAGAAGGTTTGTGTTAACCGAAATATCACTCCAATACATCCGCACTGTAAGGGTCCGTATTATCCATGTTACGATCCGTCATCAAACCCTAACACGTTCTGTAAATCTTAAAAAATACTACAATTTATTTCGTCACTTCCGTCCGCCATTGTTTTGTTGAAAGGGAACCTCTGCACAATTCCTCCGCACGTATTTTCTCGGTAGTGTCCAGACCTTTGCATCACGGCTAGATCGCTTGACCCCGCTTTATGGCTTATAGAACGAGAAATATTATATTTGAAGCGCGCTTTTTGTGGTTTATAGCTAATAGAACGAGAAATGTTACATTTAAAGCAAGCTTGTTTGGTTTATGGCTGATAGTACGAGGAATGTTACATTTGGAGAGCGATTCTTGTGGTTTATGGCTTATAGAACGAGGAATGTTACATTTGAAGCGCGCTTGTTTTGGTTTATCGCTTATAGAACGAGGAATGTTACATTTGAAGCGCGCTTGCTTTAGTATATGGCTTATAGAACGAGAAATATTATATTTGAAGCGCGCTTCCGCAGTCTTGTGGTTTATGCCTATAGAACGAGGAATATTACATTTGTAGTGTGCTTGTTGTGGTTTATGGCTTACAAAACGAAAAATATTGCTGTTGAAGCGTGCTTATGTCGCTTTATGGCTTATATAGCTTTTATAACGAGGAATTTATACGGTCCGCATCAATCCAGCAAACGGACCGTTACGATTCGTACGGATCGTACGGACCGTATGAACCGGTAACACATTGGCTCTGATGTCATAATGAGATGCACGCTCCGTATGTGCTCAGAATACTGACCGTTAGCAACGCTGACGGTTTGTACGGAGCGTACGATCCGTCAACTGCTCATAGCGGTGCGTAACAGTGCGACAGTATTGGACATGACTGTTGCAGTTATGGGAAACAAACATTGCAGAAAGCGAAGTTGAATGTTTCAGCGGGGTTAAAACAGCTCAGAATAGCAAAAAGTAGGGTGGAATTGAAAGAAGATAACATAAAAATGTGAAGCCGCTGAAGGAAGAAGATGTGCTTGGGCGATTTAACCTAGAGAAAAACCAGAAGAATGCACCGTGTGCTGTCGGAGTCTAACTTAAAATTAGCGTTCCGAAGCAAACGTACATATATATTCTCGCTGGATACGTCTTGCCTTTGGTATTCTATAAAATGCCAGAACAGGGGAGTTCCTGAATTATTTGTGCACAAAGGCACACAACAACTTGCATGTCTCGTCATAATTCAAGGTGGCTGCTCGACTTGTTCCCCTCCCCCCCCCCCCCACCCCCCAAAACCCCCCCCCTACTTTGGGTCCCCGGCCCTCACCCTTTTCCCCCCTGGGTGAGTTTGGGGTAGGGGTGTGGTTGCGGGGGGGGCCCCCCGCACTCGGGGTTTTGGGGTGGGGGTGGCGGAGCCGCGGGGGGCGCCGCTCCCCAGGTAACCCATAATAATAATAATAATAATAATAATAATACTTATAATGATAATAATTCATAATTCATATATTTGACAATTTCTCTTTGAAAAGTTTAACTTACAAATTCAAAGAAACAACGCACTAAATCTGGAGTGCAAAGAAGTCCGTGATCAGATTTTAGAAAACCTTGATTTCTCCCATACATTTTCTGTAATTCGACAGTATCAAATTTACAGAAAATGTATGGGGTTTTCTAAAAACTAATCTTGTACTACTATGCACTCCAGATTCAGCTTGTTGTTTCTTTGAATTCATAAGTTACACTTTTCAAAGAGAAAGTGGCAAATACATGAATTCAGGAAGAATTAGCTGGCTTTCAGGGGCGTTCCTGGACATTTTCCAGCTTTAACCCCGTAACGAGAATGTTGCTGATATACGCTTATTAAACCAGGGTTTTAGAGGTCAAAAAGTATCTTTAGTTGGATCTTTAAGTTACAATCACTTCACATAAATGTTGTATTTCCCTACTTCTATACAATGTCATGTTGAACGCAAAGACAAAGCTGTGTTAGCGAGGCTAGGCCTGGCGGAAAACTCCCGGACCACCTTGTCTGTGTCGATGCCCTTGTCCAGGCCACGTACGCGTCTAGAAGCGCGAGCCCAGAGGACCTCTCTGCTCATATACTAGAGCGCAAGTACGTCTTGACCGTTCACATACAACTAAATGATCGTTCCGGAATTGCTGTCGACACCGGCATCATCATCATTATTATTATTATTATTATTATTATTATTATTATTATTATTATTATTGTTGTTTTGTTTGCTATAAGTTATACAAAGCAAAAAAAATCTAATTATTTCAACTCTCATGGCGAGGAAACCCAAGAGAAGCCACCAGGCTTATAAGGAATGGGCTCCCTCAGTTAGATAATTAGAACAAAATATCGTCAAAATAATTGTGAGAATAAAATTTTCCCCCAGAATCTTTTAAGCCCGTTGTTAACTGGCTTACAGTCAGGTACACCTCCCCTGGCTATGAATTCCAATTTGAATTTCCCTGACATGATTACCCATGATGCAGCTGTGCGCGTGAACCTGTCTATTGGGACTCAAATCAGTACATCAGGGCCCAGTTGTTCGAACGCTGGTTAGCGCTAACCCAGGGTTAAATTTTAACCCGGGTTTCTTTTTTTTTTAATCAAAAGTACTCTCTCGAATAATTTTCTCTATTATTTTTAGGGTATCCAATCATCAAATTGTAGGCAAAGAGAATTAAACTGAATTTGCTTTTTGAGCTCTCATATCTGAGTTCAAATTTCGTACTAACCTTGGGTTACCTTAACCCAGCTTCGAAAAACCCGGCCCAGTACGTTAAAATGTTACAAACGTCGCTGCGTTTAATCGAGTAAATACAGTCATTTTGAGACAGCTAGTATCATGACCAATTTTTGGTGGGTCAATTTTTGATCGGGGGGAGGAGGTGGAGAAAACGTTAGAGTAATCATTCAGCTGATATAACATTCAAGGATAAGAAAAAACACTTCTGAAATATCTATTTTTCAGAGAGAAAAAAGGACAAAGATTGTTTTTGGCAGGCATTTTTCATATTACGGTGGCGTGCATGATAAAACGCGTGAACAGTGCAGTGGCTTCTGCTGAAGCGGAAATTTAAGATATTTTAAGACCCGTTGTTTTGACCTACTTTGTTTATTTTTTCAGTTATCACAATTTTTAATAGATATTCGCGGCCCTTTGCGCGCTCAGTCGAGAGCAGTTCGCCGGTGAATTAAAATTCTTGGTATAAATTTGAACATCTCGAAGAGAAATTTTTAGTAATCTCGCAAAAGGGACTTGTATGGTCCTTCGCTAATCTTTGTCATGTTAGAGCCACGGGGTGTTGATTTACCGAGCGCTTTGCTCGGCAAGACGCGATCGCTGATGCTCCAATTAACCGTTTTGTTTTGGTTTTCTTTTGTCCAATTTGACACTTGACGAGTCGAAAACGAAGTGGATAAAATGCAAATAAACTGCAGTGAGCGCCAGCCAATCACAGAGCGAGTATTCAATGGTTTTACGGGTTATGATTTTGTTATCACTCGTCGTACGACATTCGTGAGGTCGTAATATTTTCACGTTCCTAAGAGAATTCTGACTCTCGAGTGTTTTACATAAGACGGTCTTTTATTTCAAAGGCGCGCCATAAATGGACATCAGGAAAACTTCCCTTCGCTGTGAAAGTAAGGCTGAACGAATCGGGGAATCGAAAAGTGATGTAAATAGCTTCATCGAGTTTTGTTAGTTCTGTTTATGTGCTATTTTTGTGAAATTCCCACTGTCGATGGAGAATAAAATTTTCCTGTATAAAAACTACCCGACAGCAATGTTTTAATAATGAAAAAGCCGCATTTTTTAATTCTTACACGCTCGATCTCCCTTTTCTCTTTGGTTGAAATGACGGACCTTGATGTCTGGCTCGTATGACGGCGACTGTATTTTCTTCAGTAATTTGAGATTTTAGGACAAATTGCTACTTGATCTACCTGTTCTATTGTGGAGTCTTAACCTTCAAGGTATTTACATCAGTTTGTGAGCTTCGAACGCTCGAAGCTGCAAGAAATATATTTTCTTCAATTTATGTTATTTTTACGCTGGTTTCTATATTGTTCATACTGTGATCGCGTGTATTTTTAGATCACCATTGCGCGGGACCGACAGCACTCGGCCGGACAGAACAACAATTTTTACAAACTTCCTCAAACAAAACCGAAGATAGATCGAGCGCACTTCCCCTTTTTTAAATCGAACCAACTTCGGCCGTGTAAGCGAATAGTAAGAAAAATAGCCATAACAGTGGCCAGAAAATTTTCGAATGTTCAGTTTTGGAAAATTTACATAGCTACAGCGATGGGTTTCCCTTCAGCGGCCATTGGTGCCCACCGGCGTATTTGCCAGGATTTTTCTCGTCAACAAGGCAGTTTTCGGTTCCCGAGCAAAGCTGATTACCTCAAGGAACTCTCAAAGAGCAAAACTGTCATTTACGAAGCTTTTCCGGTAGCTGACTGCCGAGTATTTTAGGGGAGGAGTAATGAGATGAAAGTGGTAATTCTTTACCGTAACTCGTGGCATATCGAGTCAGTTTACTTTTGATTATTTCACGAGGCATTGTTTTACAATTCTGTGACGTCACGTACCACATGCGCTTTATGCTTTCCTTCGCCCTTCTTTCCTCAATATCGCACCAAACAACCCTAAAAGGTTCATTTTTCACTTTGATTCCAACCTTCGCTGCTTTTTTCATTTCTCCACAGTATATCGAACCTTGGAAACTCTTAACTTGTTCATAAACTAGATTTGCACACGTGTTGCAGCATTTCCAGAGCTCGGTTTGCAGGTTTCCTGAGCTTTCGAGACTTAAAATTCCCTCAAAACGCCATCCAAAATGGCTGTTTTTGTCTTTCCCCGACGAAGACAAGATGATGTGTAGGGGACAGGCTGGAAAGCACAGATCATCCTAGAAGCTTATATAGAACGACTTTTGCCGGTAAGAACTCGATTTTAATGTGTTTCCAGGCTTCCTATCCTTATCAAATAGTTTGTAACTTACCTCTGCGTACTTCGCTTGAATTTTGTCGTTAAATTCAGGGCGGGGAAATAGTCGGCGAAGCAAATCGTTTTAGCTAGGTATTTGGACATTTTTACGTACTTTTTTCGATGAAACAATACTCTGAAATAGTTTTTCCAACAGTTGTAAATAAACATGTGTATTAACTTCACATATTCCCTTCCTTATAGCTCGATATTCTTGACTCGGCGTAAGCACGCATTTCGTCGTCATCTTCGTATCTATTAAGCCATTGTTTCGTCCTTTGACATCGTATTTCTAATCCTTAGGCATAACTGAGAGACATAAATTCCTCGCTGTCTTGGAATGGATCCTCGAGACGTCCCAAATCACAGCCCCGCTCACCCTCACAGCTTTTTTGATGGCAATCCAGGTGAGCGTAGTTTTACTTTGTTGCTCGTTCAATTTGTTTTGCTGGCGTTATTTCGTCGTCACAACGAGCCCATCGAGGATCTCCCTTTCCTCTTTTTTTAAACCGTGCTCTTGTGCATGAATTGTTGAAGTTAAAATTAGTTTGTTTAATAGTTTGTAACTCTGATATTTGGAGCAGACTTGTCATTATTGTGCCTTTTGTTTCAGGCCATCTTCGCTCACCTCCATTGTCCCACGATCCGTCTTACGGAATGCATCCAAGTGCCTTCTCTATGATGGGAAGAAGACCTGGTTTGCCAGACTTCAGAGGAACATTACCTCACGACCCTATTCTAAGCTCTCCAGGCAGTTTGACTTCTCCTGGCTCACTTCATAGCTCATTAACTGCTGGGGCAGGTGGTGCAGCTTGGTGGATGCCCCCACATCCACATGCTCATGGGATGACACCCGAGTATTTTCCCAGTCATATCCCTGGAAGCTGGCTAACACATGAACATGACTGTGGTATTTCTAATCATGACAGACTTGATGAATGTCTATACCCTCCATCAAGGTCTAGAAGTAACATGATGAATGGAGTAAATTCGTCTGGTGTTTTTGGAAGTGGGTCAGGGATCTTTTATCCTCCACCAGCAAGTCCACAGTCGGTACATAGCTTTGTTCGCCAAACTAGTCCTACCACCAGTAGTTCAAAGAGCACACTTTCACATTGGAGTAGCCACGGCAACCATGATGGAAAGGGTGGTCTTGATCTTGGGAACAGCCGTGACTTAGAGGTGGCCCCATCACATCTAAACAGGAAATTGACTAACTGTAGTGAAGAAAGCAATGATAGAAACAGTGAGGTGAGATCGGGTGATTTAGCTTTGCATCACAGGGAAAGAGTTAAAGATGCCAATATCAGAGTCAACAGGGAGCTTGAAAAAACAAAAACTTCTAACAGCTTTCCTGAAAATAAAGACTTAATGTCTGGAAATAAGACACAAGTATTGCAAAATACTGAGCATAATAATAAAAATGGCCAAAGACCATCAAATGTTGCTGCCCACAGTGATAACAGCAACATTCAAACGCATCAAAATATTGGTTTAGAAAAGAGAAATGACAAGAATGTACATGCAGGGATTGTAGAAGAGAACCATACTTCATTAAATAAGACAGCAAATTTAGAGCCCACTGCTAAGTCAAGTCCACCAAAGTTGCAGAAAGTGAGGTCTGGCCCGCCACCTCCATTAAAGGTGCCTTCTTCCATTTTGAATACGACTGAAGGAATTATTCCTACGAAACGAGAACCACCTGTGAAAAAGGGAAAAGATCTCTCTGCTATGCTCAAAGAGGAAATGCTGAAACCAAGTAAAAAGGTGGTGACTAGTACAGCTAAACAGACAGAAAAAGCACAGAATATTGTTAGCGGTGAAGTGAAAAGCAAACTGAAAAATGTGTCTGAGCAAAACATGGCCAGTACTTTGCAAGTTTCACCGGCCGGTCAAAAGCCTTCTTCAAAGCTGCCTGCAAGTCAGCCAAGAGTCCCATCAGGAAAGCCACCATTAATAGCGCAGTTCAGGGACGTAAAGTATAACGAGGAGAGTAGTGATGATGACAGTGATAGTAGCAATGTCAGTAGTGACAGTGAAAGCGGCAGCGCCAGCGATGATGACAGCGAGGAAGGAGAAGAAGGAGAGAATGAAGAAGAAAGTAGCGGCAGTGATACTGATAGCGATGGTAGTGAGGAGGAAGAATGTGGCGCTGAACAGCAGGATGATGATGAAGATGAAGATGATGATGATGTAAACATGGAAAGCCAAGAAGGTGGTGTCTCATTTGAAGAATCAACTCAGTCACCCAGCAAAAGAAAACTTGAAGAGGGTTCTTCAGGTATTAGTGTGAAAATTTTTAATGATCACAGTCACAATTCAATGATAATAATGCTAATTATAAGCACATGTTGTTCTTTGCTTGCTGAATTTTGACAATTTTTTATTTTTTATTTTTTTTATTTATTAAATGTTGACAATTGATGTAAAAAAAATGCCCATTATTTTCTGGGTTGTTTCATAGGAAGGAATTTTCAAATCTGGATTTTTTTAAAAAACTCCTTTCAATAGTTCTTTTGGATAATGCAGTTATTAAGGTTCCAGTGAAATGTTCCAACAGTCCCAGGTTGAATGCAGAACTTTTTCAATAAGCATCAGTGGTTTTTTTCTAATTTTTGAATATTTCTTTGTACTGTAGGCACACCAAGGAAAAGGCGTAGAGCAGTCAATGAAGATGCCATCAAAATTCCTTTGGAAAAGGGGTAAGATAAAGCTTTTTAGTTTTACAAAACTAAAAAAAGTAAAAAAAACAGCTAATGGACATGGTTTGTAAATGTTTGTTGTTTTGTCAAACTTGTCCATTTTTAAGTTCTTAGTTAATTTTATGTAGCTAGCTACAGTATATAGAATTATCTTCCTGACCCTGGTTGTTCAAATATTGGATAGCGCTATCCACTGGATAAATCACTATCTGGATAAATCTCTATCCATTGGATAGAGATTTATCCACCCGATAACCTGAGATCGGGCGTAATTTTTTTTTGCTTCTTTGCTTCTTTGGTTCGAGAGGGAAAAAATAACGCCTGATACATTTATTTAACAAGCCATCAACTGCCCCCTAATTTACATAATCTAACGTCTGCTTGACCTGTCACGTTTTTAGCCAATCAGCGTTTAACAGAAGGGAATTAGATTTTGGCGGGAATAATGTCTCTTTCGAAATAAAGTTTAGGGAAAATAGAATGTTTATTTGTTTAGTTGTTGTTTTCAACAACAACTAACGGATGGCGGCGTTTTGGCCAATTGGAACAGTGCAAATCATCCGTATTGTTTCCTATCCAATCAGAAAAAAGTCCAGATTCTGGCTTTTTCGCATGTGATCTGTGAAAGAAATGTATCATGCCCTCCTCCCAAAAACAGATTACAGAGGCCTGCTCTTGTAAGTACTAATCAAATGTATAGTCCAAGTTAGTATTGGCTACAACACTGTATTGTCATTGCATTGCGGATAAGCACATTATTGACATTCCAATCCTAGCTGTATGCAGGATGTTTGTCATTTGAACCTACAATAGTTTAGTAGCCTTAGCTCCCGCGAGACTCCTGTAGCTCACTGGTAGAGCATCTGCTCTTGTTACCAGAGGGTTAGTCTCTTTCTCATTCTTTTTATCAATCTTCACAACCATGGTCTTTACGTATTATCACTGTACCTTTGTCTTGTTTGTTGTCATCCTCTGATTTTGTGATTGTGGTTTATGTGTAGGTGGCGGCGGCAGACCCGATTACGTCAAGTGGGCGCGTCAGGTGGATTAAGAGGGGATGTTTACTACTTTGCTCCTTGTAGCAAAAAGCTTCGTACTTATCCTGAGGTCACAAGGGTGAGTAAAATATTACCATACCTATTGTGTAATGATGGATTTCCAACTGAAATGCCGCCTATTCCTTTTAACTTGATGTTAATAATGCCACCATTTTTGTATTGCTTTAAGTGCCTTAACTCTTATAGAGAGAATTTGCTGAAAATTTTGGCAAGACCAAGAAGTTTAATTTCTGTCAGCTCAAAGATGTCTTTGCTTAAGTTCCCTCATATCATTTATTTGTTCATTCATTATTTTGTTTTATTTTCACCATTCCCTTCCACCTGCCTCATCTCATTATTATTATTAATATTGTTAATATTATTAATAAACACTGATGAGAGGCATGCCAGATAATGAGTACAAAATGTACAATACATTGAATTTCATTCTTTTGGTTTGAAAATGCTTTTGACTCTTAAGAAATCCCACCCCCCTGCTTCTGAGTACAATGTGCCTGTTGGTAGAAAGATTTTGTGAGTTGTTTGAAAGTTAAGAATTGATGTGATCTCTTTTTACAGTATCTCAACAAGAATGGCATCACTGATATATCTATCGAAAACTTCAGCTTCAGTACAAAACTTCACATTGGAGAGTTTCTGGAGTGTAAAGAGGTTTGTGTTGTTAATGGTCAGCTTTGTTATTATGAAATTGCAAGACAAGCGTGACAGTGTAACAGTAGGTAGTGGTACAGTGCTGCTCCAAACAAGAGCCCGATGCATAGTTTTGCATGAAACCTTTCTAAGCTAAAATGGATAGCCAATAGTATATGGGGCTAGGCAAAGAGGATGTGTTGGCCAATGCTGAATCTGGGAAATGTTGGAAAGAAACTTGAGTGGACACATTAAAACTTCTCAAAGTGAGTTTTCTTTGCTTAATAAAAACTGTTCAAACTGTTAACAGGGAACTGAGTTTGTACCTCTGTCTGAGGAGGAGGTCAACAGACGAAAACAAGAAGCGGATGAAAAAAACAGGGCTAAACTAGAGAAGTTAAATACCAAGAGGGAGAAAAAGCAAAAACAAGCAGGTACAAAAATACTTCCATGATCTTTCAATTTTGTTCAAGGATTCAGAGTCATTTTGCACTCTTAGAATTTTGCTATACTGTATTCAAGCATGCTTCTGCTACCAGATGCAGGTGGATCATTATACATTTCTGGGAAACTGCCCACTTACCCCTCCCCTAAGCCAACATTAACACTAACTTCTCACTTAGGGCAAAATGTTGGCTTCGGGAAGGGGTAGCTGGGTAGTTTCCCAGAAATGTATGATGATCCGTATGATTTTCTGTGGTGACAACTGTGCTTGTATTTTGTAAGTACTCAGGGAAAGAAAACTAGAATGCCTTTATATTGTAGATAATAATGTAGAGAAATGGTGCATTTTAAATTTCTTATAGCTTTTTCTTTTGCTGCACCCACTTTCTTAAGCTAGATCTTTGCACCCTGTAAATACCAGTGCTATTACTAAGGGCCTGAGGCTGAGGGTTTTCCCCTGGCTGCTGTAACCATGGCTTCTGGATAAACAAAAGGAAAATATCACCTTACGAATTTCCTACCTTTTTGATTTTGTTGCCTACTAACTACATAATTTTCCTCTGAATCTTGAGTAAAATATGGCATAATACTTAATTGTTCACTACAGTTACCATAAAGCTGCCTACATCATAACAGTTTGACAACCTCATGTTTGATGTCTGTCAAAACTAATACTGTAATTCTTCTGAAATGCTACTTCACTGTGCATAAGTTTAAGTGTCAATTTTTATAGTTGATCACCACAAAGAAAAGGGCATTGTTCTGAATTAGTTGTCCTCAGGTGGTATATAACAAATCTGTGATAGGTACAGGTAGGTGGGAGAAATGATCTGAGACTTTGCTGAGTGATCTCGCTCTCACTGTAGAAATGGTGCAGAAAGCATTGGAAGCTAAGCTTGTAAGAAAAGCCCAACGGCAGGCTGCGTTGGATGAAGCTAGAATGGCCAAGAGAGAAAGAGGTTAATTAAGAATATATGTAGCTTTACACTTAAACAGTTAAGCCCTCATATATTGACTGGCACATAGTTTCTCCTTGTAATTTCCTTTCTTAATATTAAACATATGGGCATGCATGTAGAGGCAGTAATTGCTGAAGACAGAAAGTCTTGATTTTCTGACAAATTCTCATTGCTAGTATCACACAAACTATCAGGGAGTAGTGAGGAGAAAATGCCTGTTGATATCTGGGCTTAACAGGTTAATCCTTTGACTCCTAGGAGTGGCCAAAAGTGCTAATCGAATCCATCTTTCGAAAATGAAGAAAGAATAGTTTGGATTTCCTAGGAGTGATGTGGCTTAAACCCCTTTACCTCTAGGGGGATTAATAGAGTCTTTTCAGGTGGTTCTAAATTTTGAGTGTGTGAATGAAATCCTAAAGTGTGACCATTCAAATGAAAGCTACTGAGCAGTACTTTCCTGTGTTGCTGTTTATTATGCTGTACAAGGTGGTTCTAACTTTTGTGTCTGTGGATGAAATCCTAAAGTGTGACCATTCAAATGAAAGCTACGGGGCTGTACTTTTCTATGGTACAGTTTATTATGTTGTACAATGTGGTTCTAACTTTCGAGTGTGTGGTCAATTTCCTGTGGTGTGACCATATTAATGAAACATTTTAACAGTACTTTCATGTGGAATAATTTGTATTTCATCATTTCACAAAATGAAATTTTGGAATTTTGCTGAATTTTGGCTTTTACAACTCCTGGGAGTGAAGTGGTTAACAATGCATTTGTCATCAATAGTGCATTACAGTGGTGACTTGTGCATTTACGAGGATGATTCGGAAAGGCAGGTGTTGCAGTGCAGGCTCATTGCAGGCTGCACTTGCCTTTCTTTCTAACATTTGTGCTTTATACATTTGGCCATAAGTGGTGATTTCATTTCAGAAATAGCTGTTAAAGCAGCAGCAGCTAAACGGCTAGAAAAAGTTCAACGTGAAGCTGCTTTGGAAGCGGTTAAGATGGCAAAAAGACAGAGAGGTTTTTATTAAATTCACATATTTGTTCTTTGCTGGATAAAAGTTCTAACTATGTAAATGAGGTAATAATGTTGGGCGAACACTCAAAGTGCTTATCTCAGAAAAATGTAAAAAGTGTATAGTACACCAAACTGCTAAAAAAAAAGATTGTTTAAAGTAAAAAGAATGACCTTATGTTTTGATTGGTACAGAAGTCTGCAGGATAATGGCCTCAAATACAATCTAGTTTTATATGACACTTTTGTTCAAAATGTTATTGTAGTAACTTGGTCCACTAAATGTTACCTTGGTTTATACAGAATTAAAGATTTGTGTGCAATTGACATTCTTGCCCATTTTCCAGTTAGCTTTAACTCTTTAAACCCCAATATCCACATACCAATTCCCCAAACTGATCACTATACATTTCCTTAAAGAGGTAGTTGAGAGAATTTGATAAAAGATCAAAGCATTTTCTCTATGATGATCATTTCAGTAATTCTCATAACCTTATCTCTTACGATGTATGGATATCGTTAGGAGAAAGTTGATGTTGGTCACCATTGGGGCTTAAAAGGTTAAGATACCATAGCTCAGAAAGAGGCAGCCTGTTCTTTTATCTCTGTACTAAAACTGTGGCTCTGAAGTCAGATATATGTGTATTTCACACAAACATCTGAACAACAAACATCTTGTTCTTGAGTCCACAAAACAATGTGTTTTTAAGTTTCATATTCCTGGGCTCTAAACTACTTGATTCATCACTTAACCAGAGTCCTGTTCTTTTGCCAGGAAAAACATTAATAATGGGGATTATTTAAAGAAAAGAATATCTCCTTCGATCTGAGCTAGGTATTCTTAATGCTACCCCATTTTCTCTCAATCTTTGGTATTGTATACTGAAAAGTTCTGACAAAGCACAGATACAGTGTAAGGTCCATAGTGTCTATTTTGTCATAAAGTTCAACTTGTGGTTTTGTTTTTATAGCTGAAGCAAGAATGCGCAGCAAAGCCATGAAACGAGAAGCGCTTCAGGCAGCCAAGGAAGCCAAAAAGGAAAGAGGTGAATAATGTTTGGCTGATATAAAAATGTTTTGTAAATTTATGTTATTTTATTCCATCAAGTCTGCTCTTTTTATGAACAACCAGTAACTACTTATGTTGAATTTCTTCAGTGCGGATGCTGGCAGAGCAGAAGCGACTTGCTAAAGAGCGAGCTAAAGAGCAGCGACAGTTGGTGAGTGGTAGTTCTACTATGATATGTTTAGCCTGCGAGGCAAGCTCTCCTGGGGTTCCCAGGGGTACGGAAATTTGAATATCTGCGTCCAACAACAACAGCAATCAGATTATTTCTACTACTGTAGACAGGCAACTATTAAAAAGAATATTCAAGAAATATAATTATAAATTAACATGATATGTTGGCAGTAATAATATAACATATTAATTTGAGGTCAGTGGTACAAGTAATTATTTCACCAGATTTGTGATATAATGGCATGACACTTTTGTCGGTCAGGTGCATATTCTAAATTATATTGCTGATCCTTTGGGGCATTCAAGATCAAACAACTCCTTTGTGCCGTATGCTTTTTTCACCCTTAGTTTTCTTTCCCGGTGCACAACTGATGTTTCTTTGAATGTCTTGTAACAAGTCACCATAAGATGAAAAAAAGTATTAATTTTTTTCAATCAACTCAATCATGTGTGCAAATAATTTCATGATCAATGTTGCGTACACCTGTTAATTTATATCTGGTTGTTTGTTAGGCTCGGCGAAAGAAGAAAGAAGATGCTGCAAATGCGAAATATGAAGATGCCATGAAGAAGGCAAAGGTAAGGATAGATCCATGTTTGCAAATTAGTTTCATAATTGGCTTTCAGTGGATGAATTGAAGTTTTGAAGTCTATGGTGCACATCTTCAAAAATATTGACTTTGGTTCTGCAGGGCTAAAAAAAAGTCAGAAAAGTAGATTTTTTGCATAAGATTGTGACAGTAACATGAAGATACATGAATTGTGCTATGCTAATTAAACTGTAGTGTCACTTTGGATGTGTAGAATTGAAAGGAGTCATTTGGTTTGCCTTATGTCATCAATTAATATTGTTCTACTGGTGGGAGTTTGTTTATTTGTTTTTCCTTATATCATCAGGAAAGGGAACTCAAACGCCAGCAAGCTGTTCTTCTCAAGCAACAGGTTATTGTTTTTAAATAATGCTAATAATAATGAAAAATAATACTAAGTTATCATCTCTCTTTAGGGGGCCTTTCAGAGATATTGAAGTAAACAATTTACTAGCAGTTGTTAGATGAGGCTGAGGATGATCTGAAGAAAAAACAAAAAAAAATTCTTACTTAAAAATATGCACATCTTGAACAATGCTACTTGAAAGTTCAATCCTGTCTTCATTGGTTCCTGGGCAACTTCAGGGTATGAAGAGGTGCTCAGTCTGACAGATGTTCTTCAAATAGCAGTTGTCATCCATCGAGTTCTTTCTTTTGTTGTTCTTGCTACATATGGCTACGGTTTTAAATTGATATTTTGCTTATCTGCAGGAAAAGGAACAGAAAAGACAACAGCAGATGATGATCAGGGCAATTGAATCCCAGAGGAAGCAAGAGGTGAATACAGTAGGACCCCAGTAACTCGAGCTCCCCGCTAACTTGAACAAATTCTCATTTCCCTTGGATTTGACCCTACTTTTTAGTCACTTGTACCTGGATAACTCAAACTCAGATAACTGGAATTCGAATTCAAACTAAATAGCATTTCCCTTGATCAAAATTTACCCTGATAACTTGAACTCGGATAACTCGAATTCGAATTCAAACTAATTGCATTTCCCGTGATCAAAATTTACGTCGATAACTGAAATTCTGGTTCTTGCAACTCACCACAAATACCATCCCATTAGCTTTTCCTATCGTGCAAGCAGTATAACCCCCTAAAACTAAAACTACAGTAATTTATTTTTCATAAGTGCAATGAACAGATCACGTATTTGATAGCCATTTCCCTGTGTTATCATAAAAATTCATAATCGTGTTACAATTTCTGATGAGATAAGTTTATTTGCACTCCACTGTATACTGAAGTGCTGAAATATCAGTAAACTATCAATATTAACATAGTAAATTGAAGATTTGATGGACCCCGATAACTCAAACCCCTGCTCAAACTGTTTTTCGTTTCCATCAGAGTTCAAGTTACTGGGGTGGTACTGTAATAACAAAAAATAACTTTTTCTCATCATCTGCATTGAAGTTTGTGCCTTCTATCCACTGGTTGACCCAATTACTTACAGATTCAATTTACTTTTAGGAGCGTGAAAGATTGAAGGAGGAGAAAAAGATGGAAAAGAAGCTTCTAAGAGAGAAAAAGCTTGTAAGAAATGAACATTTTTATTTTAAAATTTTGATCATTATTTTGTCATGCATGCAAGCAAGTTGTAGTAATTGAAAAGAAGCTTCTGCTTGACAGAAGCTTTTAAGAAATGAAATTTTGTTTAGTCTGGTCATACAGGGTTCACACAGTCTTGTAAAGTTCTTGAATTTTAGGGGAAGTCCTTAAAAAGTCCTTGAATTCCATTTTTCCTTGAAAAGTCCCAAAATTTCAGTGCAAGTCCTTGAAAAATCAAGCTCAGAGAAGTTAAAGGTGATTTACATGAATTGTTGTTTCTTCTATGCAATAATTAACTGTCAATTTAAGACAAGTGAACCAAAAATGTAGAGAAGTTTGTTGGAGCAAAGAGTTCAAGGCTCAAAGTCCTGTCAGAATGGACTGGGAATGTGCATTTTTGCACAGTGTGTGACATTACATTCCTGGTAGGTGGTCGTTGAAAAGTCCTTAAAAATGGTTTCAATTTTTTGTGTGAAATCTGTCATAATCTTGTCATCTGCAAGCATTCATGTAAAGTTGTAGTTACAATGTACATACTACTGGTATATAGGTAAAAATATATTTGAAAAATAAAATGAAATAAAATGAAATAAAATAACTGAAGTGGGAGTGGAATGCAGCATAACTGGGAGTTTATACAAAAGAGTAAAGTACATGATAGCATTTTGATGCAGTTACTTGAGTTTGCTGAGAGATAAAAAAAGTGGTGTTTCTAATCCCTTGTTCAGGAGCAAAAGAGGAGGGAGATGATCTTAGCTCGTGAGTTGAAGAAGCCAGTCGAAGATATGGTACTAAAGGATAGCAAGGTATGATGTGAAAATTATATAAATCTGGTAAAATAACCCAAGTCAGCAAGTTTATTACCATATGGTTTATGATGAGTTTATAAAATAACTGAGATAGTACGCATGATCTGATTGGTCAAAAACCTATGGTTTATTATACCGGTAAACCCAGGAAACCCATAGAAAAAGGCATCCAGACCACGAGCCATAAACAAAACCGGCTATCGATCTGCAAACAACGACTTTAGAAAGGCTAAAAAACAGAACAAGTTACTTACCCAGCCCTTCTTAATATTAAAAGCGTACAGTCTGACAGAAGTTCTTCAAATAGCAGTTGTCATCCACCGAGTTCCTTCTTTTGTTGTTCTTGCTCTATATGGCTACGGTTTTAAATTGATATTTTGCTTATCTGCAGGAAAAGGAACAGAAAAGACAACAGCAGATGATGATCAGGGCAATTGAATCCCAGAGAAAGCAAGAGGTGAATACAGTAGGACCCCAGTAACTCGAACTCCCCACTAACTTGAACTAATTCTCATTTCCCTTGGATTTGACCTTACTTTTTAGTCACTTGTACCTGGATAACTCGAACTCAGATAACTGGAATTCGAATTCAAACTAAATAGCATTTCCCTTGATCAAAATTTACCCTGATAACTTGAACTCGGATAACTTGAATTCGAATTCAAACTAATTGCATTTCCCGTGAGCAAAATTTACCTCAATAACTGAAATTCTGGTTCTTGCAACTCACCACAAATACCATCCCATTAGCTTTTCCTATCGTGCAAGTAGTATAACCCCCTAAAACTAAAACTACAGTAATTTATTTTTCATAAGTGCAATGAACAGATCACGTATTTGATAGCCATTTCCCTGCGTTATCATAAAAATTTCTGATGAGGTAAGTTTATTTGCACTCCACTGTATACTGAAGTGCTGAAATATCAGTAAACTATCAATATTAACATAGTAAATTGAAGATTCGATGGACCCCGATAACTCAAACCCCTGCTCAAACTGTTTTTCGTTTCCCATCAGAGTTAAAGTTACTGGGGTGGTACTGTAATAACAAAAAATGACTTTTTCTCATCATCTGCATTGAAGTTTGTGCCTTCTATCCACTGGTTGACCCAATTACTTACAGATTCAATTTACTTTTAGGAGCGTGAAAGACTGAAGGAGGAGAAAAAGATGGAAAAGAAGCTTCTAAGAGAGAAAAAGCTTGTAAGAAATGAACAATTTTATTGTAAAATTTTGACCATTATTTTGTCGTGCATGCAAGTCAAATTGTAGTAATTGAAAAGAAGCTTCTGCTTGACAGAAGTTTTTAAGAAATGAAATTTTGTTAAAGGTGATTTACGTGAAGTGTTTTTTGTTCTATGCAATAATTAGCTATCAATTTAAGACAAGTGAACCGAAAAATGTAGAGAAGTTTGTTGAAGCAAAAAGTTCAAGGCTCAAAGTCGTGTCAGAATGGACTGGGAATGTGCATTTTTGTACAATGTGTGACATTACATTCCCGGTAGGTGGTTGTTGAAAAGTCCTTAAAAATGGTTTCAGTTTTTGTATGAACCCTGTCATAATCTTGTCATCTGCAAGCATTCATGTAAAGTTGTAGTTACAATGTATATAGTACTGGTATATAGGTAAAAAATTGAAAAAATAAAATGAAATTAAATAATCTGATATAAAATAACTGAAGTGGGAGTGAAATGCAGCATAACTGGGAGTTTATACAAAAGAGTAAAGTACATGATAGCATTTTGATGCAGTTACTTGAGTTTGCTGAGAGATAAAAAAGTGGTGTTTCTAATCCCTTGTTCAGGAGCAAAAGAGAAGGGAGATGATCTTGGCTCGTGAGTTGAAGAAGCCAGTCGAAGATATGGTACTAAAGGACAGCAAGGTATGATGTGAAAATTATATAAATCTGGTACAATTACCCAAGTCAGCGAATTTATTGCCATATGGTTTATGATGAGTTTAACATACTACAGTGCTAACTTTTGTTTAAACTTTTTCAAGGTGCTGCCTTCTCTGACTCGAGTCAAAGGTCTTCAGGTGCCTGGTGGAGCTTTTGCTGACTTGTTGATGCTTCAAGAATTTGTACACAACTTTGGTGAAGCCTTGGATCTAGGTAAGAGAACTGAGTTTAC